CTGATTAACACGGGAAATCAACCAGTCAGCCCCATCTACAAATCCATCTTCAGTGTTGCTTTATTCGTGTGGGGAACGTTGCCGTGGTTTGGATGGAGCGAATTTGTGAGGTTTAAGGTGGGGGGCAGGAGATGCTTGGCAAACTCTGGTGGGGGTTGCTGAAGCAGGCTGTGGGGCACAGGGAGCTCGGACCCTGACATGGGCTCTCACACCTTCCGCAGCCCCTCGGCAGTGGCCCAGCCTGGAGGGTGAGCCGGGCGGGGTGGGCAGCCAGAGGGCAGGAAGGCCAGACCTGTCACCCCCTCCTCACAGGCAGCAGCTGCTGTGGGGCCTGGAGGCCTGGCCTGGTGCCCAGGTCAGGTATTAACTGAGGCCCAAAGACCAGGTCCTCAGCAGCCAGATCTGACTTCAACATTGGCTCTTCCCAGGGTGCCTGTCAGCTGCTTTGAATGGAGTGAGCCCCAAGCAGGGGACCCCATAGATTGTGGGAAGTGTAGGCTCCTGATCCGCTGCCCCTTCCCTAGGGATGGAGAGAAGATGGGCCCTGGACTTGAGACTGTTTCCATCTGCCCATCCATCCATCCTCCCTCAGGACAGCAGTCCATCCTTCTGTCCATCCTTCCAGATGTCTTCAATACACTGGTCCACATATCCTATCCATCCACCCATCTCTCCATCCACCAGCCCAACGCTCCATCAGTCTATTCATCTCTCCATCCCTTCATCCCTTCTTCCCTCCGTCCATCTGTCCTGTCCACCCACTCACCCATCTATCCATCTATCAATCCAGCGCTGTTTCTTGACAGCTAACCAGGGACTCAAAGTGAATGACTGTCTTTAAGGAGCCGGTGGGGGAGATGGACTCTAGGGAACCGGCTCAGCCACCCCTCCTCTAGAAGCAGAGCCTGGGCAGCGAGTGTCGGGCACTGATCTGAGCAGGCCCTTGCGTTGGGGGCAGGGACGACAACACCTAGCTTCAGCCTCCCTTTTCCCCGTTAAAGAGCCTGGGCAGAGGGTGGAGGAGATGGCAGTCGGAATGAGGGAGGGAGGGAGAGGCTTCACTTGTCAGCAGCTCAGCAGGTACAGTCAGACTTAAAATGTCCCCAAAGAGTGTCTGCTGAGAGGCAGGGGACGAGCACGCTGAATTATTTCTCCAGTAATTGGCACTGAAGAAGCGGCAGACATCCTGGGGTCTGCATCAAAGGGCTTGGAGCTCAGCCTGTCTCAGTTAAGACGCGGGGCAGCTTGTTGGGTCTCCTGGGGCCCTGTCCCCTCCCGCCTGCCCGCCTCCTCCCCCTCCCCCTCTTCCTCTCCACGGTATGATGGGGCACCGTGCTCTCCTTGGCTTTCTGCACAAGGCAGCCTGGGGGGTGGGGCTGGGTGCGTGCAGCTCAGAGCCTGGCGTCTGCAGAGCCTCGTGCCAGCTGCAGAAGGGACAGGGATGAGGACACTGGAGCATCGAGGCTCTTCTCTGCAGGGGACAGCCTTGCCAGGGGCTCTGCCAATGTCTGCCCGGAAGGGTCCTTCTCCCCATACGGTCTGGACCAGGCCAGTGCCACGTTTTCCTTTGGTCTCATCTCTCCCCTGGGCAGAAGAGTCTTTGCTGGCACTTCGGATGAGCAATTTGAACCGACTGGTCACACACATTTTGTAAACAATTGAATCTTTCTGTGCCTGTGTGCATGGTGTGTGCATGTGTGTGTGGCGTCCATCTCCCCTGGCAAGGGCCCCTTCCAGTGCATTTCTGGCTGGTCCCTGGGGCCCCTCTTCCACAGCTGGGCCCACCCCTGGTCGCCTTATGCTAGAGGCTTCTTCTCTCTCCTCAGATGCAGAGGGCAGGGGTAGGGCAGCCTGGGGTGGCGGGTCGAGACAGGTCCGGTTTCCAGCCAGCCTCGGCCTCCTTCCTGCCGTGGATCCCAGTGGAGAGAATGGGCCAAAGGGGAGCCCCTATGTTGGCAGTAGGCGTGAGGATGGGTCCCAACGTGCCCCCAGGACTTCCCATGCCTCCACCCCCACCCCAGGGAGCTCTGGGGAACACGATCAGAAAACTTTCTATTTAGTCCAGTTCCCCCATCTCATAGATGGGGGTTGACAAGTGCAGAGGGCTGGTGGCAGGGCCAGAATGAGGACTCGAGTGCCCAGATGCCCGGTCAGGGGCTCTGGCCCACAGCCCAGGCTGTCCCTCAGCAGAGTTTGAGGACTCTCTTTGTCCAGCCTTGCCTGTGGATCTGGCCATATTTAGAGTCTGTGCCCAGAAAGAACAGCCGGGCCAGTCGGGACCAGCTACATAATCTGCAGGGCCCAGTGCAAATAGAAAATGCAGGGCCCCTTGTTCAAAATTATTAAGAATTTCGAGAGAGTGATAGCAGAGCATTCAGCTGAGCTTGGGGCCCTGTGTGACTGCACAGGTCGTGTGTGTGCCCCTGAGGCCACCACCGAGGCCAGTGGGATTCCAGCCATCGAGGGAGCAGCTCAGGTCCCTGGGTGGCTTCTGTTCCCCATTCCAGGAGCCCAGTGGGCAAAGAGACGCAGGAGGACAGCATCCCGCTTTAAAAGGGGAGGCAGACCCTCATGCACTGCTGGTGGGATTGCAAAATGGGGCAGCTGCTGGGGGAAAGAGAATGGTGGTTCACCAAAAAGTTAAACATAGCGCTACCATACAGGTAATCCAGCAAGTCCACTCCTAGGTGTATACCCAGGAGAAGTGAAGGCAGGGACTCAAACAGATCCGTGCGCACCAATGTTCACAGCAGCATTATTCACAAGAGCCAAGAAGTGGAAATGCCCCAAATGTCCATCAACAGATGAATGGATAAACACATGTGATATATACACACAATGGAATGTTATTCATGCATAAAAAGGAACTAAATTCTGACACACGCCACAACATGGATGGATCTTGAAATCATTGTGCTAAGTGCAATAAGCCAGACACAAAAGGACAAATGCTGCATCTTTCCCTTTGTACGAGGCTCCTGGAGTTCAAATTCATAGAGACAGAAAGTAGAATGGTGGGTGCCAGGGGCTGGGGGGAGGGGCCAATGGGGAGATTTTATTAAATAGGCACAGTTTTTCTGTTTGGGATAATGAAGAAGTTCCGGAGATGGATGGTGGTGATGGTAGCATGTGACGGTCCTTAACATCACTGAACTGTACTTAAAAATGGTTAAAATGGTAAATTTATGTTATGTACATTCTACTATCAAAAAATTTTTTGTAAAGGAAAGAGAGGCAGGCGGCGTGGGAAGACGAGACGGTTGTGGGGGGTGGTGAGGTGTGCTGGGGGCTGTGGAACTGCAGCCCCCTCCTGGAGCTCAGGCGCCCTGTTCAGGTGCGGCTCCCACAGGAACCGCAGGTCCGTCCAGAGACAGCCGGGCTCCGAAGGCCCAGAGAGGCTGCTTGACTGATGGGAGCTCCTGGAAACCCTCTAACCCCAAACCACCCCACATCTGTCCACACGTGGCCTGAAAAGAAAGCCACTTCCCTGAACCCACCCCGGGTGTCCCAATGAGAGAAGATTCATGAGAGCACCTGGGGGTCTTAGCCACACTGGGCCACGGGAGTGTGACAGTGTCCCACATGGGGACAAAAATCTCTGTGCAGTGACTGAACTTTATTCTTAGTTGTTATATCAGCAGTGGGAAAATATCCCAATGAGACAAGGGGCTGACTTTACCCTATTTATCTAGAAGTTTCCATCTGCGCTGCTGACACAGCCTGGCTGCCCTTCTGCCTGTGCCTGACTCTCCCTCCCCTCAGAATCCTGACTTGTTCCCACCCCTGCCCTGCCCTGCAGCCTCAAGAGCACGGTCTTCAAATACGTGCTCCCTGCATTAAAATACAGGCTGACTTGACCTCTCTGGGCCTCAGTTTCCTCTTCTGTAAAATGGGAATGATAGAAGCATCTGCTTCATAGGTGGGCGAGGATCCCTAAGGCTTGGGGCAGGCGCCTGATTCAACAAACGGTGGCCTTGACGGATATTATGCAGCCAAATGCTTCCTCTGTCCCCAGCCCTGGCTCAGTGGAATTGAGGCTTGGTTTGTTGTCTGCAGACAAAGCAGTGTGAGGAGGCGGGGGTGGCAGGGGCGCAGCCTGGAGTCCTTGATGGGCCTCCTCCTGAACCCAGTGGCTCCCCTCTCCACAGCCTGCTGCAGCCTGCACTGAGGCAGAACACGGCACACGCTGCAGACAGTTCAGGGGAGAGGCAGGAACAGGCGGAATGGAGGCTGCAGGCTTCTGGGAACCTTGAGATGCGATGCTGGAAAGCAGGCAGATTCTCATTAGGGAAAGACGCCAGCCCCTGCTTTGTGAGTGGAAATGGTCCTCACTTGCTGGGCCCATTGGAGGTGAATCCACCATGGGCGCTCTTTGCTCCAGGGCTGAGCAACAGCTGGGGGCAGCACTTCTGTCCAGGGGTGGGACTTGGCAGCAGGACTTGTCCCATGGCCTGTGGGAGGCCGTGTTTTTTCTGCCAGCCTGGTCCTCATCACCTGCCCACTGCTCCCCTACATGGGTCGGTCTAGAGGCGTCAACCCAAGGAAATGCAGGTAAACTGGTTCTACCAGATCAACGGTTCTCAAAAGTCTGGTGTCCCAACCAGGAGCATCAGCATCACTTGGAAACTTAAAAATGCACATTCTCAGCCCCCTTCCAGAACTTTGAGCCAAAAGCTCTGGGGTGGGGTCCAGTGATCTGGACCTAACAAGCCCACTGGGTGATCTGACGTTGCAGGCGGGCAGGGGCCACCGCTGCTTTGTCCACTGCTGAACCTCAGCCTCTAACAGTGCACTTGGCACCCGGCAGCTGCCCAGTAAACAGCAGATGGATGACTGACTGCGAATGAGCGCCATCACTACCCCGAGGGAAGAGTGTGAACAGTGACCTCGCCCCAGGCGCCACGCACCACTGCACTCACCTTCTCACGTCACCCAACAACTCGGAGGCAGGCGCCCCGACTGAATTCTGTGGGAGTCATAACTAAGAGCCGTGAGAGGAGTTTTACAGGCACTTTCAGGTTTTTAATTTCCACCATCATCCTGTGAAGGAAGTATTACCCTCATTTTACAGATGAGGAAACTGAGGCACAGAGTAGTACACGTAATTTCAGGTACTAAGTAGTGGAGCAGGAATTTGAACCCAGGTGTCCAAGTTCATGAGCCTTCCGCCTGCTGCCTCTTTTAGGGGCTCCTTAGGTTAGCTGGTATTTGGGACAGACCAAGTCATTTCTGTGCTCCCTGAATTTTACAGATGACACAGAACACCACTCTCCCCTGACGTCCCCATGAAAGGCTCAGCTCCAAAACTTAACTTGTAAGTTGGTTGCTTGAGACACAGAGAGCAAGTTTGTAAAAAAAGAATTTCTTGGTTCCCAGACCAGCCCACAAAGAACTCAACTCCAGAGGCAACTCTCAGACACCCATGGGGGACCTGCATTCCATCTTGCCCCCGAAAGCTGAGGGCTTCCGGGATAACCCCGGGATGAAACTGCTTCAGAACCCGGCAGCCCCGTGACGCGTCTCTAGGAAACACATATGGAGTTAGCCCTGGGCACTGCAGGGACCAGGTCCGTCTCCTGGCCTGGGTATGCCCAGGCAGGGGATTCTGGCGGGGCTGAGCGTGGGAGCTTGCGCCACATCAGGTCTGGGAGTCTAAGGGGCTTCTGTCACTTAGAGCCAGGAGGCGCAGGCAATAGCCCCTCACAGCCGATATTTGGATATAGGGACCTCTGGGGCTGTATTTCCTCTGCCAGGTGGGTCCTCAGGGCCTCCCTGCCTCGCTCACCTGCTATAGCCTCAGGGCACTCACCTCCACCCCATGGGTTTATCCTGGGTTTGATACGTACTTTCCCATTTTAAAAATCCCATTGTTAGAAATGTAACCTAGCATAGAGTTTAAAAAGGGCAACTGTGCCACAAAGTTTACAACATAGACAGCAATGCCCTGCCCCCAACCAAGTCCCTCTCTAGGCAACCCTTAGAACTCTTAGCCGCTTCTGCTGGGGTTTACCTTGGATCTGAATCTCACGCTGATTCTATTTCTTGATTTCTCAATTTTATATATCATTACAAACTATATTATATATCATGATATATTATAAAACATTATGATACCATATACAATCTCCCCAACGCACATATGCTTATCCTTGTATATTCTTGAATATCTCCTCCGTCCTCACGCTCCAATCTGGGCTGGCCTTGGCCTCACACAGCCACCCCATCATCCTGGGGATTCTCTTTGCTCCTCTCCCGTGTTAGATGTCCAGTTTCCTGTGTCCCTGGTATCCCCCTTCTGGTTTTCTCCCTTGTTTGGTTGGGGCACATCCTCTAGTAGTTGCCTGAGAAAGAATGCATGGGAGGTAAATTTAAATAAAATTCACATCTGAAAATACCTTCCTTCTACCATCATTGAAATTTGGCTGGATATAAATCTAGACTAGAAATCAGTTCCTGTCAGAATTCAGAAGACCCTGTGTTCTGCTTCAAAATCTGCTTTGAGAATTTCAATGTCATTTTAATCTCTGATCCTTGATATGTGACCTGTTTTTTTTCTCTTTGGAAGGTTTTAGGATTTTTTTTCTTTAGTATTTTTATACTGGTGACCTGAAATTTCATGCTAAGAAGTCTTGCTTTCTTAAATTTTTTTATTTTGGAAGATTTCAGACATATAAAAATAATACAATAATAAAATATAAATATTAAAGATCCATCTATCTATTGGTTTAAACATTACCAATAAAGTTGAAACCCCTTCTTAACCGCATGCCTCTTCTTCCCAAGAGATATCGTGAATCTGTTGTTTATCCTCTATACACTTTTCTTTATTCTTTCACTGCATAAAATATATGTTAATATGTATCATTTTTGCATGTTTTAAAATCTCCAAATAGATGGTATCATAGTGTATTTTTCTGCCATCTGTCTCTTTGCTCAGCGTTGTTTGTGAGATCTATCTATGTTGAGTGTGGTCGCCCATTTTCATCATTGCACAATATTCCATTGTTGGAATATATCATGATTTTTGTAGCTATTCTTTTGTCGATGGTATTTGGGTTGTTTCCAATTTTTAGCTAATCAAAAGGTACTGCTCTAAGCATTCTGTGCGTGTCCCCTGGAGCCCACGTAGAAAGGTTTCTGTAGGGAAATGGTTCTCAGCTCTGGCAGCACACTGGAGTCACCTGGGGAGCTTTACCAAACCTTGATGTCAAGGCTGTGCCCAAAATTGATTAAACCAGACTCTCTGGGGGTGAGTCCGGTGTGAATGCTTGTAAAGCTCCCCAGGGGATTCCAATGAGCAGCCAGTGGCGCCAACCACTGCTCTAGACCAGCGCTGCTTGAAGTGTGGTCCCCCAGCCAGCAGCAGCGGTATCACCTGGGAGCCCCTGAGACGCACACGCTCAGCCCCCGGCCCAGACCTAGTGAGGGAGAATCAAGACCTCAGGGGACCGGTATTACACTGCGGCTGCTGGCCACGCGCATCTTCATCTACAGGCCTTGCCACGTGGCTGCTCACAGTGGCAGCCGTGGTCCACACGCTGTGGGTTTGTCACTGGCCCGGTACTCGGTGGGTTCTCCCTCTACGGAAGCTCGTTTCCTTCAATGTAGGAAATGTTCTATTATATTTTTAATTTTCCAGAGTTTTAACACTTCTTTTTAAAACATTACATTCTTGTCCTGATTCATGGGTACAATCTCTTCAGAAGGCTGCTCTCTGACCCCTTTCTTCTGTGTATTGGGGTCTCTGCATTTTAGGTTGTTGGTTTTGGTGAAATGTTGGCGCCCTTGGCTGTTCTCACTATGAGTGAGACACACCAAAGCTAAGAGGAAGCTCTGTACACGTGGACAGGACTTGTGGACTGGGGGATCTCACAGTGGTGACTGGGCAGACTGGGGAATCCCCAACGTCAGGACCTGTCCATCTTTTCTCTTTGGTCAGTTTCCCAGAAGAAACTCAGTAAGGTGGGAGGATGGGGAACAGGCCTGGCTGTTAGCAGGGTTGGGGGCTGAGGGTCTCCCCATTAACCATTGTCTTACCCCAGTCTTTCTCTGGGCTCGGGGTCCCTCATCCAGAATCTTTCTAGTTCAACCTTGGCCAGCTGTAAAACCTGCGTTCCTCCAGGGTCAAGGAAGGGCAGTCAGGGGCCATGTGAGCTGGAAGAGGGGACTCGGGGCTCTAACCACTCCTTCCAGCCAATACTAGTTCCACACCCATCCTGAACTCCCACCTGAGGGATATGTGGTCCCTCCAAGTTCTGAGCCCTTGGAGGATTCTGCAGAGCAGAGGGACGGTGTGTTCTGGGTTGGCTTTCTCCCTTGTAGACACTTTGGGGAGTGGCGGAAGCTGGCACTAAACAAGTTATATTCTCCCATCTTCCAGAGTTTTCAGACCTCTCTCATCTGCTGCCACCTCCTCTCCTGTGCTTTCTGTCTTTGCGGTTTATGACATTTTAGTGCGGGTTTGGAGGGCAGAGGAAATACGAATGTGTTCAGTGCACCATATTTAACCAGAAGTCCTTGTCCATTTCAAAAACATTTCTACATTTGTCCATATAAGTGTGCATAACTCATTTTGATTGTTTGTATGTATACTTGAAATTTCTTTATATAGATGACACTGTGTTTTCCATTCAACATTAGGTGGGGGAGCTCTTTGAACACACATAGATCCAGCTCATTCCTCTTACTGTGGCCTAGGACATGTTTCAGGAAATCAATGCACCGTATTTTCATCCATCCATTTCCCTACTGATGCATCTCAGAAACACAGGCGATTGTGGTCTTTTGATCAACACACTGGCTCAATGCAAATTCTAATCTTTATTGTTTTTATTCTGAAGCATAACTTGCCACAGGGAAACAGTGAGTGTCTTTACCGTCTGCCAGTGGCAAGGGCAAAAATGCTGACGGTGGGGGCCTGGGAGCCTGCAGAGAAGAAGGCCCTTCGAGGACGGGGTACGGGGAGGCGTGGAAGGAGGGGCAGGAAGGACGGGAGGGTGTGGACACCAACACACGCATGCACACACACACACTCTCTCTTTCTCTTCAGGAAAGCGTTTTCCAGAAGCATTTGGCTGCACTCTGAATTACACACTTTTCATGCCAAACCAAACCTCCTGAAGAAAAGTGAATTAATGGCTTGGGGGGGCCACATCCTGGCTGGGGACTCAGCCGAAGGCTGCTCTTTAAGGAGGGAATTCACAGTATTCCCCAGAACCCTTCCCAGCTCCACCAGCTGAGCAAAACCTGGGGAGGCCAAGGGAGGGATCCCAAGAAACCTAACAAAGAGCCAGGCTTCCACAGCAGCCCCTGGGCCAGCCCCGAGCGAAGTGGGGACGCTGCTCCCACAGCCCAGAGAGGCAGGGAGAGGGAAAAGGCGGGCAGATCTCTCATCCCCTTGCTCTGGGCTCCACCGCTCAACTCCAGGGGCCAAGTCCAGCTCTGAAGGGTAAATGCTCAGGGTCAGAGTTCTTCTTCCATTAACACAAATATGGAGAGACCCCACCTGGCCCCCTCTGAAACTGCAGTGCATATGAGAAAGCCCCACAAGATGGGTCTTCCCTACCAGTCAAACACCAGACACGTGCAAACTTAAAATGAACATGGGGTAGCCTGGGAGTGGGGGCTGGGGAAAGGACAATAAATTAAGGTCACGGCTGAGTGGAACGGCTAGGGGTGGGGAGAGGAGGGCACCCAGGAGAGAAGGGGTGCAGAAAGGCACTGGGTGGGGGAGGCAGACTCAGCCCCCCAAACACTGGTTTGTTGAGTCAGAGGTCATGTCCCACAGGGCTGGCTGGCTGAGGGCGAGTCAGGAAGGAGCCGGGAAGGACCTGGCTCTGGCTTTCTCTCTCTCTCAAACTCTTCCATTGGAAAGTCTGCTCTAGGCACCAAACAAGCCTCCGCCCACAGCAGGCAGAGGGGACCGTCGGAGCCCACACCATCAGAGGGGCCTTGTCCAGGTGTGCCTTTTGCCTTTGGGGGAGAGGAAAAAAAAGCCACTTATAGGGTTAGCAGAGGCAGAGATCCTCCCCGGTGACAGCTTGACCTTGGGGAATGAGATGGAGGTGACGGCAGGGAAGGAGAGCTCCTTGCTGCAACAGCCCCGCACCTGAGGCAGCTTCTTGTCTGAAACTAACCTGGGGGCTGCCCTGACGGCTGGGGCTGGCGCTCTGGGCAGGGCACCTGTGCCCTGGGCCTGGCTCTGCTCCGCTTAGCTGCGTCACCACAGGCAAGTCGTGTACTCCCTGTGCTTCACTGTGCCCATTGAAACCCGGGGCAATCAACACAGGTGATCTTAGGATGCCAGAAGGAGCAGATGGGCATGGGAATATAAAACTTGCCTCCAGGCTGATCCTTTTCAAGTTGTTTCTTAAGCCCTGGAACCCTTTCTATGCACTGGGCCACACGGCCTTCCCCATCTATTACTGGACATTTCCTGAAGACCTACTTAGGGCAGGACCTCCACATGGATGCGGCATTTTACTCTCCCTGCAACCCCGTGAAGGACACGATGTGGTCCTCACTTCAGCGATAATGCAACTTGGTGCAGAGAAATAATAGGTTGAATCATAGTGAATTGCCAATATTTGACTATTTTTGATCTATAAAAATGCAACGTTATATGGTTCAACCTGATGGTTTGTCCAGGTTCGCATGGCTATGGGTGGCAGGGTTGGGGCTAGAACTAGGGTCTGCTTGATCCCAAACTATCCTCTGTGGAGGAGGCTGGAGGGAGGGGAGAGACCTCGCGCTCCCTGGGAGCTGCCCACCTGCTGCCTCTTACATGCCCTGCCCAGAAGCTTCTCTGGAACCATCACGACAGGGGGAGGGGGAGGAGGTGGGGTGGAGTGGAGGGGGTAGTAGGGAGGATGAGGAGTGGGCGATCGCTCCCGTGAGATTTCTTGCTCCCACGAGATTTCCTGGTGGGCAGCTGCCAGCGGGCTCAGGGTCCTACAGAGAGCCGCTGGCCCCGTGCCGCTGGGGGATCAGCTGCTGCGCTGATCCACACGTGCGCAGTGCATGCCCGTGGATTCTCCGGCCAGGCCACACAGGGATCAGGTCTTTCCTGAAGGAGACTAGGGTGCAAACCTGCGCTTGCACAACTTTCTCTGGCTCGAGTGTGAGGAGACGTCCCCCTGCCCACCTCCATCTCATGATGAGCTCAGGATGGTCAGGCTGGGACGGCAGGCACGGGGCGGGGTGGACAGCTGGATTCCCGCCCTTGGTTTCCACGCCTATCAAATGGGGACAACAGGCCTCCTGCATACGCCTCCAACAGAATGAAAGTTGACCCTGGAGGTGCAAGGGCAGGCTGGGGGTCCAGGCCGCCAGCTCCTGGAATTCTCCATGTGGGCCTGCCCTGTCTGGGCTGTTTTGGGTGAGTTGACTCGGCTTCCTCAGCTACATGGCAGGTTTCTGGAGGTCAAGGACTGTCCCCCACTGCACCCAGCCCAGGCTGGGTGGAACAATGGGGCTTGGTGAGGCCTGGATTGCCTGGCACATAGTAGGTGCTCTCAAAACAGGAGTTACTGTGACTGTTACGGAGACGGGGAAATGCTTTGAAAGATTACGTGTTTTATAAAACCAAGGATGGTAACAACCACTGTTAGTTACTGAGAATGGGTTAGGGATGGTACCATATTATTTTGGGTTCCTCTCTCTGTTCACTGTCGGCAGGGGTGGGTCTGGCTCAGTAAACACAGAGAATTGAAAATCTCGTCTACTACTCTCCAGTTCTGGAGGATTGAGTGAGAGAGGAGAGCTGTGGGGGAGGGGGAGCAGAGAAGGAGAGGAGGCAGCTGGTTAGAAGGGGTGGTGTGGTACTCACCGGCGCCCTTCGGGTCCGGCCAGGGAGGGGTGCCCCCCTGCAGGTCTGCAGAGCCCATCCCAGTCTCGCTGGCCAGGCTGCTCTGGCTCCCCGAGAGGTGGCTGGGGGGGCAGCTGAGCCCCATCTTGGGTGACTCCACCCTGCCACCTGCAAGAGACCATGTGTGGGCGAGAATGGCTCAGTGCTGGGCGCCCTTTAGACCTTGACCAGAGAGGGAAGATCGCAGCCCGACAAGGAGCTCACCTAAAATCTTTGCTTTGGGATCTGTGACGGGTGCCTACGGGACTGTCTGCCCAGAGCCCCTCACCAGGGGAACTGCCACCCCCGCCCCTACAGGGTTGCCGTGTTCTAGCAGGACCCCACTCCCAGCCACTGCTGATGGGTCCAAGACGTATAGAGGGAACCGAATGGGCCCTTAAGTCGTTTCACTTAAAGAACGAGTAAAGGCACTGATGTGAAAATTGGCAGTGAAGAGCTTTCCCTGCCTTCACAGAATGAGGGTGTGTGTGGGGGGATGGGTGTATATTTCAGTTAACCCAATGGGGTTCTTAACTGCTGCCTTTTACAACTAAAGAATCCTCACCTAAATGTGGTCGTTAGTCCTTGCCTGGCCAAGAGAGCAGAGGTGGGGCCTGTGATACTGCACGCCATCCTCTCCCATCTCCTGGACCCGCTTGGTCACAGGTGAGAGTTGACGTGAAGGGAGGGGACCACAGCTATGGTGGTGGGGAAGGAGGGGAGCGTAAGACCTGCCCTGGAAACCAAGGCTGGCAGGCGAGTTTCCTTTACACTTTTCTAAGACAGAATCTTTGGCCTGAGGGGCCCAAGAGACTATCGGGTCCAGGGCGAGTTTTCATGTCTTGTGTCACCTCCACGTATTGACACTGACCACTGGGAAAACTGCAGAGGAGGATTCTGAGGCCACATCAGGCTCTGCGGGAAAGAGTATCATGATCAACTAGTAATGTCTGCCACAGGCACAGGAGTGGGAATGGAAGTATGTGTGCCAGGCATGTGCCATCTCTGATCTAGCCCCAAGTGCCATCCCCAGCAGGAACTCCTTCCATGTGAGCTCAGGCAGGAGATCACTCAGCCTTGGTCCCAGGACAGCACCCTGAGGCATTTCATTCCAGTTTGGGGCAGTTATTATAAAGCTTTCTTACACACTAAAATCAGCCTCTCTGAAACGTCCTTCAGATATCCCAGTTCTAACCTCTGGAGGAACTGAGTGAAGCTGGTCCTTTTTCTGGGAAGTGTCTTCATCTGGGTAAAGGAAAGGAGAATGTGCCCCCCAGGCCATCTCTGCACTAGCCTCAAGGCCCCGGTTAATTCTCTTTCATAGTCAGGGCCACAGAGAAGAGCTCGGAGACGTTAAATTCAGACGGCGCTTTGGAGACCACCTGCTTCATCCCGTTTGTGCTAAATAGAAGGAACCAGAGGCCCAAGAGGTCATGGTGCGTGTTCAGGGCCCCGCTGCAGTTTCCAGGCAGAGCTGAGCTAGCCCGGGGAGCTCTGTACCTGATTTTCACAGCTCTCATCATTCGCGAGGCAACATCTCCTCTGGGATGCTCGCAGTGAGCTTGGGGACGACCCCAGGTGTGCAGGCAGCGGTGCGGGGAGGCCGGTTGGACCTGCCCTCCATCCCCCTGCAGATACACCTGGGCCTCCTTTCCGCCTGCTCTTCAGCGGTGCTAAGACTTGAACTCCTTATCGTCCCAGCCCCCAGCCCACTCTCCTCTCTGGTCTAGAACAACTCCGTAGACACCTGTGTGGGAACGGCTGCCCAGGTGTGGTCACACCACTCTGCACCTGGGGCTTGGGGAACAAGCAGCATACTTCCCACACTTACCTGACTCTCCCCAGGCTTTGTCACCTCTTGAGTCTCTGACTCCAGTGGGCGGGAGTCCATCATCCAGGCTCGAGGAGCTGAGATCGGAGTCGCTGTCACTGTCACTGGAAACCACTGGAAAAGACAGACAACACAGGAGGTCACCCCTAGAGCCACCACCAGCAGACACGTGTAGAGGGGGCCAGGGAAGGACCTCAGCCGGCCCTTGTGTTTGCGGCTTGGGAAACAACGGCCCGGGGAGGGAGGGTACTCCTTCCTGCCCATCAAAGAGGTGAGTCCTGGTGTGAGGAGGCCAGGACTCAGGCTCAGCACGACCAGCTCCAGCAGGGAGGGCTCACCCCCGGCCAGCCGTCTCCACACGTCCCCCTTCCCTGCAGCAGAATCAGAGCCCTCTTGCCGTGGGAGAAGCTGATTAATCCCTTTGGTGCAGGCACAAGTGCGCTGAGGCTTCTGCCTGGCAACGCTTCAAGGTGCAAGGCCCTGCAATGATGACAATTCCAGGCCTGGCCGATGCTGATGGCACGCCCCAGGCACTTTATACATGGAAGATAGGAAAGAGCATTATCCCCATTTTACAGGTGAGGAAACTGAGGCATCTGCCAGGGTGGTCTGTGGAGGAGTCCAGTTTCTAACCCCCGCAGGCTAGCTCCACAGCCTGTGTTCCTCACTCTGCTTCCACTGGAAGAACTGAACTGGGAGCCAGCAGGCCCAGGCTCTCATCCCAGTTCATCCAGTAACTCGCAGTGGGGTCTCATGAATGAAGAAGGGAGCCAGGCTGAGGAGGCTGGAATCCCAGGAGAGGGGGGCCTCACAGGGAGCGCCCACTGTGGTAGAAATCCTTTTTTCTGGACTGAATGGGACCATGTTTGGCTGGTTAATCAACAGTGGGAGTCATAATACGGGATATATCCATACGTTAAACATTCTGTTTTAATTGTAAGCACGGAAATGCACATCCACTCGCCAGTCCTTTCCTGGAGGGCTCAGGTGCTTCTTGACACTGGGCCCACACGGTCTTTCACATCTAAACTGCATCCATATCGCCTTGTCTGTGGTTCCCAGATTCTGCGTCTTTCAATCGGAGCAGAGCTTCAAGACACTGGCAAAGCCAGATGAGTGCAGAATCTTCTTTTTTTCCATTTTTCTCCTGTTTTTTACAGTTGTCCTGCCCACACCTAATTCAACAGCTTTTTTAAGCAAGTGGCTGCTATCAAGACATCCCAAAGCCTTGGTTTTAATGAAACAACTCCGTGTCTTTTCATCTCTTTTCAATAATTTACACAACACTGAATTAAATGATGTAATTACAAGAATAAGGATCACTGCACAGAAAGGTTTGGGATCACAGGTCATCGCCAGCTCCCACAAGTGACCAACCAAGCGGACAGATGGGGCAGGCCAGTGTGTTCTGCCCAGGGAGTGCGAAATGCTGGTGACGGAGGGGGTTACGAGGGGTGAGCGCTTTCTGCTGGGCACTGTGCTCGGTGTCTGGTGAGCATTAGCTCAGTCAATCTGCCCAAGAACCCTCGACCGTAGGGCCCTGTCTTGGGGGAGATGAGATTGGAAACGGAATCGGTCTCTACCAAGGGTGGCTAGTAGGTTTCCTCTGACCCGCCAGGCCCCTTCTGGAGCAGTGGGCAGGGGAGAATCCTGAGACCGCTCAGCAGGAGGAAGAGCCTGGCGGGTTAGAGAAACCCACTGTGAGTATAGGAGGGGAAATGATGGGACCTATGCCATGTAGCTTCCACCCAGATCTAGAACCTGCCAGAAAGCCTTCATGCCTTCTTCAGCCTTTCAACGTCATCTTTTGGCTAAGGGAGTCACAGGTCACAGAACCAAGCAGCCAGAGGGGTTGGAGCTGGCTCACCATTTCAGCTCTAAGATTCTCTCCCTGTGCTTCCTTATAAGCAGAGTGGCCGGCACACAGTAGGTGCTTTGAGAAGCGCTGGTGACTAACTGGCTCTTCCTTCTTTCTCATCCCCACATCGTGCCAGTTTCACTTCCTAAATGGTTCTTGAATCAGTGGCCTCCTCACCACAGTCGCTGCTCTTGCTTAGCCCAAGGCCTCATCGCCTCCAGCGTGGACTCCTGTGACAAGCTCCTCCTGATCCCCACCTGCAGACACCTCCCTCTGCACAGCCAGTCCTCCCTCTGCACAGCCGGGGATGCTCCAGCTAACACACAAATCCTGGAGGACCCCTCTTTAAAGGCTCCCCCGCAACTCAGGATCAAGCCCAAGCTCCTGCCCTCTGTCTGCTTCTCCAACCTCATCCCACACAACCTGCTCTCCTCCCCCAGGCTCCTTGAGCCCCACACGGCTTGCAGCTCTTGCCAAACTGATGCTCAGCACCTCCCGCAGTGACTGGCTTCCTTCTGCCCAGAATGGCCTGCCCATCACTCCCCTCCTGCCTCCTTTTGGGTACCACCTTCTCCAGGGAGCACCCCCCCACCCCCATCACCTGCGCCTGGCTGGCCGACCACCCTGTGCATTTGTTACAACTGCATCAAGCGCTTTCTGCTTTCGGCATTTGTGTCTGCTTCCCCAGCAGACTGTGAGGCTCCTCGGGGGCAGGGGCCAAATCACATCCTTAATGAGGCTGGGTGGTTCTCCTCCCGCAGAGCCTGAGCCACGTGGGTGAGGCGAGAGTGGTGCTAATGTGACAGTTCCCCGCTTTTCCTTCCTGTCTGCTCAAGGATTTTGCCTTTTTCTGCTGTTTCTTTCCCTCCTCTGCTCTCAAGGAAGAGTTCTGTGTTGGCTTTTTGCGCTTCTGTGACGTAGAATCAAGAGGAGATGGGGACAGGGAGGGGCTGTGGTCCGTTTGTCCCCTTCACGCTATTTGAGAAATGCAAGTAAAGGCCCGACTGACTTTGCAATTGCTTTGCAGGTCCTGGCCTGGGTTTCTTTGATCATGAATCCACCAACTGGACCTCACGGGCATTAGTTTTATAAGCATTTACGTATTTTTGACTCACTCGCTGACTGACTAAACACCAACCCCGTGGGTCCCCGGACAAAGGAAGTGGGAGATGGGCAGGATGCAGCAAGCAGCTCCCCATGTCTCCCTGGGGGCAGCTGCAAAGGAATCAGGAAGGACTCTGCCCTCCCCAAATCCCAGCAGTAGGGATGGGGTGGGGGTCCAGCAGCCTAAGCAGTGAGAAACCCCTGAGGAGAGTGTGGTGACTGATCCCCACATTGGTTCCCCCATTTCTCTGTCAGAGATGCTTATGGGTGATCTATTCATCCTTCCCGACTTGGCATGTTCCATCTCTCCCATGCTTGTATGCAGGATCTTTGTAATTCTGGGGCAGGGCAACATGGGAGTCCAAGATGTTGAAATAATCTGGATCCTTCGGTGATAATGGGCAGGTCAAAGGACACAAAATACCAAGTGCTCAAAAGGAGATGATGAGAAAGGATGTCCCAGGACTTGGGTTATGGTGGCAAGCTCATTTATCCCATTTCCTCACTCTCCTCCCTGTTATGTCATCTGTCATGTGGGGTCACAGCGTTGGGTTGGGAGTGGACTTAAATCACAAGACTGTGCCGTGCTACATTGGGAGAGCAGTTTTTGTTGTGAGGGATATGTCTTGTCCAAAGCATCAACCCTGGAGGTGGGGTTTGGGCGCCATATTGCTTGGTTCCCATGTGGCGCCTACGCTGCACAAGGTTTAGGAAAAATAGAACCTCCCCAAGTTACAGTCAGTTGGCTTGTCCTTTGTCTCCTTTTACAGACCCCCAAAGGGCCAGAGCAGTGGAAGGGAACAGCCCCAGATGACACTGAGCTCACACAGGCGTCACAGGGCAGAGAACCAGCCAGCCAACGAGACTCGTTCCTTTCAGATGCGTCTCCCTTGGCTCAGGCATCTTTGCTCATTGTGTCTGGGATTTCGAGCTGAAGCCAGGCCTCAGCTTAGAGGGCTTTGTGGTGCAAACTCAGTCCCATTTCTAATCCACTCTAATAAACCCCACTTGAAAGAAACAAACCAAAGGAAGTCAGCAGTGTCCACGCCCGGCCTTGGCACCTACTGTCAGTGGGAAAGAAACACACGGAGAAGACACTGCTGAGAATGTCCCTGGACACAGCCCAAGGCAAACGCCGTGTACACAACTCTTCCTCCGGCAGGAAAGGAAGACGTCTTTCTTCTTCCTCCTCCTCCAAATGTCACCGTAAAATCCCAACCTTGGCCAATTTGCCATTCGCTTGCCGTTCCCACCTTTCTCCCCGCACAGCGGCTGCGACTGGAAATCTTCCAGGTCTATTAACAAAGCTTTTAGGCTCATAAATCTTTTGGCCCTTGCTCTTCCATCCTCAACAAAACACTGTGTGTCTGAAGGCTGATTTTTTTCCCCCTAATTCCCCAGAGGCTGAGTCTGGGATGGCTCAGTGATGAGTGCTTGTATTCTGCCCACGCCTGATTTTTCAGATTGAAGACGGGAAAACACCAGGGAGAAGACGGTCACGGTATCCTCCTCAAGACAGTGGCATCACCAGTGGATTCACCTGGCTCTGCCAAGAGGCAGGGAGGCGGGACGGCCCCCCCTCCACAATGGCTTCAGCCCCTGGACCACTTCTTGGGGACCTGGCATCCCTTAGATTTTCCCATCATGCCCCAGAAGGGCTGCCCCGCTCTGCTCAGCTCTCATCCTTAGCAGCAGACAGCCCCAGTGCCACCATGCTCACTTCTCTGGGGATAGGCCAGCTTTTCTTTTTTTTTTTCCCTGGCTCACTCTTGGATGGATTCGCAATTTGACTGTCACCATGGAAACTCAGAGTTTTGGTATATGAAGGTGGGGGGACGCCTTCCCTTTGGAAAGTCTTTCTGGACTGTCTCAAAGCACATGTGTAGCAGCTGCTGTCCTGTGGCGATACCTTGCTTGGGACGGTCCAGGGGGCAGCTAGGATGCCCACTTGACCTCACAGCACTGCAGTGGGATTTGGGGACTTGCTTCTGCCACTGCCTCTCTTTGTGTGACCCTGGGCACCTCTCAGGGCTTCATCACACACAAAATGAAGCCAACCTGGATAGCCGCTCTAGGTCTGAATCCTAGGACTCAACTTCAGGTCACCTTTGCTCCATCAGTGGAGAGACCCCGATGCCCCTCTCTGGTTGAG